GCTGCCAACCTATGAATTTCAATTATACAAAGCGATTTACAATTGTTACGAACCATCGTTTTTAAGCACGTATTTGACTTATCTAAGGAAAGCATGTTGTGTCCCATTAAGAAGGGTATTTTGGCCCTAACTTTGGTCGAAAATTGAAACAGCTTAGGATTATGTCATGTATGGTCAAATCGACTCTTAATCATCTACCCTATGAGAACTTGTCCTTATTTGAGGTATTTTGGCTGATTTACTAATGCAAAGTAGAGAAGCTTTGCAGTTTTCTCGAATAATTGCTCATTTTCGGTCCTAAATTAGATTGTCTATGTATGAGCACAAGCGCTTACCACTTTCTCCTTTAAATATGTTGTAAAGAGTGTACTAAAGATTAAAATATTCGAATATGAAAGTGGTAGTCGCTTGTGCTCATACATAGACAATCTAATTTAGGACCGAAAATGAGCAATTATTCGAGAAAACTGCAAAGCTTCTCTACTTTGCATTGGTAAATCAGGCAAAAACACCTCAAATGAGGACAAGTTCTCACAGGGTAGATGATTAAGAGTCGATTTGACCAAACATGACATTACTCTAAGCTGTTTCAATTTTCTACCAAAGTTAGGGCCAAAATATCCTCCTTAATGGGACACAGCCTTTGTGAGCGTCTAAAGGCTCATACGGCGCTTTTACTTCGCAGTAGTCATTTTAAAAAATAACGTCGCTGATTCTGCCGTGCTAAGGAAAAACGCCGTATGAGCCTTCAAACATTGCCAAGTTTTCTTCGATAAAAACCGAATTTACTGGGAAAATCCTGAATATTTTTCCTTTAATTTTTCAGAGAATTTCGTTCACAATTGAATCTAAAATATCTGCAAATTTCAAGCAGAAATATGCAAAACTCTCTTCGAAAATACATGTTTTATTTGGGGAACACTCGAAAAAAAACCACATTGGATCTAGAGTCCAGACTCTTAAAAACATCGACAAGAAAAAATACTCTTGATTCAATCAGATTTAAGCTTAAATCAAGAACCAAGCCTCTTAATTTGAGCGGATTTCCTTTTGATTTAAGCTTAAATCTGATTTAATCAAGAGTCCTTTTTCTTGTCAATGTTTTCAAGAGTCTGGACTCTAGATCCAATGTGTTTTTTCTTCCCAAAGAAATTGGGCAACTCTCGAAGGTTCATACAAGGTTCTTCCTCAGTAAGGCAGGGTTCCCCCTGAAAGATCGGAGGGCACAAACCGCGAGCGCCCGAGGAGGAAAACCCATTCGCGGGAGAGTGACCGGCCGCACGGGGAGGAAAAAGGTTGCCAGAGGTCGCGCCGTCAAAGGAATAATTGCCCGCGCGAAATTACCTCCGAAGGTCGTTATGAAAAATGCACGGCTCTCGGAGGACAAATGGCACTTCGCGGGTGAATGCATTATGCATTAATAATCGATGACCGCCCGCCGCCGGCTCTGCTCGCTCATCAAGGCGCCTGCATTCCACAGGCTATGCAATTTGCCCGGCTAATATGTGCCCGCTCAAATCGGGCCCGCTCCTTGCGATTAGAGCGTCCTCTCGTTAACTCCATCGCCCGTCTTTAATCTTAATCGCCGCCCGGCCGGGGAATCGCCCGGCGAGCTCAATAATTGCCTTTCATTAGAGCGGCGCGTCGCTCGCTTATCCTCTGCCCTGAGTGAAAACCCCGTATCAGTATTCGAATGTTGCCAAATTCCCTCTCAGAATATCTTCATTTTTGAGGATAAATACATGCATTTTTTCTTGAAATTTTCAGATTTAATACATCAAATTACGCACTATACCCTCAGAAAAATCGGAAGAGAAATATTCACCATTTTTCCGGAAAATTCGTGATTTGTCGAAGGAAATTTGGCAACGCCTGACGGCTCATACGGCGTTCTTCCTTATCACGGCAGACCTCCCGTTTGATCGTCTGATGTCTGAGTCCCAGCTCACATGATCGTTTAAATCACCTGTCGGGAGATTATCGCATGTTATCAGTCTAGGGATCAAAGTTTCCCAGGAAAGTGATGCGTCGGAAACGAGAATTTCCGGGAAAGTTCCCGGTCGTATATCGAGGCATTTTTACAGCATGGAAAGTCTTCATGTCACGCACAATAGTCGCGAATACTATTGGCTGCACAATAAAAATATACGCTTCTCGATTCAGATGATTGAGTTTTCAGTCGATTGGATCGACCGCTACAGTTGACAGAGCTGAACTCAGTTTGATCAACTGAAAGTTGAGTTCAACAAACCAAAATCTCTATACACCGAACCGGTATTTTTCAATCATATGAAGCATATTCCAAGTATCCAGAGTTTTTCGGTTCGTTTAATTTAAGAACAATTCTGTCAATTTTAACAATCAGTTTACTCGACCGAGTTTATTTCTTTATTTTTTAATTTACAGTAAGGCGTTTACCATCAAAAAAATCATTCATGCTACGCACTATTGCCATAGAATAAATTGGACCGCGTTTAACAGTAAGGAACCAAGCCACATCAGCTATTGCCAAATTTAATCCGGCAATTTAATTTTTCCCATAAAAACGGTTGTGCGGATTTTAGTGCAAATTTCAGTGAATTTTTTCCATAGTACGAGGCAAATTTCTTAAAATTTTCAAAGGAATCCGCACAAACGTTCTATTGTAAAAAATTAAATTGCCCCCTTAAATTTGGCAATAGCTGATGTGCCTTGGTTCCTTTCTGTTAGACGCGGTCCAACTATCAGTAGTCTGAAAATCGTAAAGAAATTGAAAGACAGAAGGTTATGGGGCGAAAATGTGAACAATCCGGGATGCTCATTTGTCCTCAAGCACGTTCCCAGAAACTACGTTCATAAACAGAAGCGTTCTATCAGTCGTAAAGAGACCTCCAGCGTGCTAAGGATGCTTGTAAAATTGAAAATCTGAGGATTGCTCATAATTTAGTGATGGTAAAATAACCAGCAGTAAATGCCGACATTTTATCCATGTAAGGTGCATCATCATGAAAAGATGAACGTAGTTTAAATATTAAAAACGAATAAGAAAACAAAATCGAGTGCAAACACAGCTAAACATGATAGAGGCGTAATCCGGCCTCATTGTTAAACGAAATCGGAGCGACTCCTCACTAGCAGCATGGACGTCGCGCGCCATCGCGCCTTCAATTTTGCGCACGCAACACGGACATCCATCAAGTACGAATAGTTGTATCTCTGCGCCGTCTCAACGCGATTCCTTCTCCTTGCTCTGTTTCCAAATCGTGTTTGTTTCCACTTATCTTATTTGTAGTTGTGCTTCGAGGCCAACGTGAGCAACACACAAAGACGTAATCCGGTGTCGTTTTACTAACTTTACCTCCGAATCTCCCGAAAAATTGCCGTAATTAACCTAATTAGATTTTGATTATTTCAGGAGCGGGGAAGTTAGATAAAGTGACCTTTATGGAATTCAACTTCTAATTTATGAAATTATTTCGAATATTTGTGAGGTTCAAGTTGATTTATGTGAATTTAAGATAAAGAGGCATGTCTATTTCAATTTTATTCTTTTATTCATACCTTATTTTTTAGTTTTTAATGATTAATTTTAAAATAGAAAGATTCAGTTCGTGAATTTTTGCGAGCCACTTCCTCTAATTATAACTCTGAGGTGCTTGGCGGATTTTTGCGTATTTTTTGTGTATGAAGTCGTTGAATATTCAGGGCTTTCAGTCTCACCAAACACGACTGAAGTTTTGGTTTCAGAGTTAATGAAACAAAACGAATGAGTAAATTCATCAAATTTTTATTGCACACATAGTTCCTCATTTGAGGACCTTTCCCCCTGATTTTTTGGTTTATCGTCATTTGGCTGATATGAAACTTATCAAGCCTCTGATATGAGTTTAAGCAAAATTTTAAGGCTGAATTCCTACTAAAATATCGCAAAGCATTAAAATGCCTGTAGGAATAAAACAACCCAAGGCAGGGTTGAAGAGACATTGCTTTCACAAGAAGTTTGCCCTGAGTTGTTCAATGCCTGCACATTTTAATGCTTTGCGATATTTTAATGAGAATTATGCCTTGAACTTATGCTTCAACTCATACAAGAGGCGTAAGAGGTTATATGTTATAGCGAAATGCACACATAGGCATCAAAATGCCTATGTATGTGTCAGGGAAGTAAATTTTGCCTTGCCAAAACCAGAAAAGAACTAAAGCTGTAAATTCAGCATAGGGTTTTCTAGAGTACCTATATAAGGAGAGTATGGACATGTCAAAAATGTTGAGGTTAGGTGAAGGAGCTCTTAGACCCCAAAAGGTTAGGCAATCTATGAATTCAAATTATCCGGAGTGATTTATAATCACAATTGTTGAAAACTGTCGTTGATAAAGCACGTACTTGATTTGGTTTTTGCATAAACTTACTCACTTTTGCGGAAGAATGCTTACTTATGAATTTTCTTGTCCATTTTCGTTTGATTTTGGAGTCTACGATTGACAGTGACATTTTTCGTTTTCAAAGGTTACCTACCCTTTTGGGCCCTAAGAGCTCCATGTTTCGAGCTGTCCATACTTTCCCTATATAGGTACTCTAGGGTTCTCTTATTCTGAGGTTTCGTTTAAATCACACCCCGAAGAAATCCCTTAGTCCCCGAAAAAGGGGGACAACAGTCCAGGCCGCTCTCACCCGGCCTCGAGCAAAGTGCTCGGCGATGTATCCCTGGAAGCCGGATCCCTCCTTAACCGCGGGGGCGCACAAAACCCCGCGCGGGATTTTTTCGACTCCTGAGTAAGTTGTTAAAATCCCCCGGGGGCTTAAACGAAGGGAGCGGCGCCCCCCGCGGGGCGCGAGACAAAAAAGCAGAAATATGGAGTGTGCAGATATTACTAGCGGGAGTGTGAAGTGTTTGCGCTGTCGTTTATCCGGCGGGGCCGGGCGAGTTGCGCGGGGGGTCGGCTTGCGGGGGGCGGGGGGCTGCGCTAGGGTGGTATCGACCGGCCCGGCAGCGAGGTAGGGTAGTAGGCGAGGACGACGAGATGAGGCCGGTCGTCCGTAGCATCGTCGTGGGCCTCCTGCTTCTCTCGCTCCGGCTCCAGTGCCGCGCGTGTGACCTTGATCTCCGGCCCATCCTCGGGGCCTTCGTGGGCCTGTCCCTGTCCGCGGCGGCGAGTGACCTCGACGACGAGTACAAGGACTACGCGCTCGGGAACCTCACGCTCCTGGTGCCCAACGCCTCGCTCCCGTTCCCGCCTTCCGGGTCCACGACGCCGCCGGGCCCCGGGCACCATGTGCAGGAGAAGCAGCCGCTCTTCCCGCCGGACCCGTTCACCCTGGAGCAGCGGCGTCGCGGCGCCGTCATCATCCACATCCTGGGCGTCGTCTACATGTTCGTGGCGCTGGCCATCGTCTGCGACGAGTTCTTCGTCCCCGCGCTGGACGTCATCATCGAGAAGCTCGAGATCGCCGACGACGTGGCCGGGGCGACGTTCATGGCCGCCGGGGGGTCGGCCCCCGAGCTCTTCACCAGTGTCATCGGAGTGTTCGTGTCCTTCGACGACGTCGGGATCGGCACGATCGTCGGCTCGGCCGTCTTCAACATCCTCTTCGTCATCGGGATGTGCGCGATCTTCTCGCACACGATCCTGTCGCTGACGTGGTGGCCGCTGTTCCGCGACTGCACCTTCTACTCGGCCAGCCTCCTCACGCTCATCTGCTTCTTCCGCGACAACAAGATCTACTGGTACGAGGCGGCCATCCTCTTCGGTATTTATTTGTGTTATGTGTCGTTTATGAAGTGGAACCAGCCCGTGGAGCGGCTCGTCAAGAAGCACTTGTACAAGAATCGGGTCACCAGAGTCAGGTCGACCGACCAGCTGATGCCAACGGTGAGTTGTCATTTTCGTTGTGAAATGTCATTGTCATTGGGAGTATCATTCCCACCAGGGAAAACAACTTTTGCACTGGAAGAAAAAATCCGCTTGGATCTAGAGTCCAGACTCTTGAAAACAATGACAAGAAAAAGTACTCTTGATTCAATCTGATTTTTGCTTGAATCAAAAATAAATCCGCTTAAATTAAGAGGCTCGGTTCTCGATTCAAGCAAAAATCCGATTGAATCAAGGGTATTTTTTCTTGTCAGTGTTTTTAAGAGCCTGGCCTCTAGATCCAAGCTACTTTTTTCCTAGTGTGCGCTGAGACCTAACATTTTAGATTCAATGAAGGCAACTAAATGCAGTAGTGCTGAATCCTACACTGAAAAAAATGGTATGCTGTTTTAGCACCTAGGATGTCAAAAATATGTCTGGTGATCCTAAGATGCTGCCTTGATTGCCCACGCAGTTGAATTTGCATTCATAGGATGTAAAGTTAACTGCGGAGGCAGCAAAGGCAGAATCTTGGGATCACCAGACACATTTTGACATCCTAGATGCTAAAACAGCATATTATTTTTTTCAGTCAACTTTAAGGGTCAGCTCCACACCTTTAGGGTCCAGCCTTACAGACTGTTGGGCTCAGCACTACTGCCTTTCGCTGGTTCAATTTGATCCAAAATGTTAGGGCTCTGCGGTAAGTTGTATTTCCTGTGCACGTTCAATAAACAGTTACATCATTTGGCTCTCACGTCAGATTTTAGACGTCAGGGGATTGTCAAGACGCCTAGCATTTAGAGTTTATTCCCACCCTCCCTTAAAGAATCACACAATCTCCCTCTCGCGAAATAATTGGAACAGTGATAAGTTGCCATATTAAGATTGAAAATTATACCTCTTCCTAGTGTGTGAGTCACACGATGCGACCCTCACGAAAAACGTAATGAGATTTAATAATCAATAAGTTAGGCATCAATAAATTAGGCAGTGAACACGTCGTGCGTCAAAGAAGTGTGTTGCAAGTGAAGTACAAAGTTACGGTCTAAGATATTGCTCAAGTGTTAGTTTAAGGAGTGTTGGTCTTTAGATGTACATATTTTAGATCGTAAAGCTTTACTAACTTGTACCTCATGGCATTAAAACTTTAAAAAAGTCGTAATACGTAGAGTTAACTGATGATTGCAACCATACACGATAAGAATCCATGTCTAAATCTGATGGTATGGATAACCATTGATCATTCTGCCTGTGTGCTTCGGAATGCGGATGCTCATTACTCGTGTTTTTCAATCTTCAAAAAAGTTTCTTCTCTCCATGCTCTCCAAAAAATACGGGAAAATTTACTATATTTTGAGGCATAAGTTACTTCTATGCATAGGCTAGTAACAATTAAATCTAAGGTACCAGCCATGTAAACGATTCATTTTCTAATAAAACAACGAAAACTGAGAAGTTATGCTTGCAAACATGAAATGGTGCTTCGAATATTGTTTAGCAGAAAGCTGGGTGAGCTAGCAATCTGAACGGGAAACTAGTTCAAGCTCTTTTGATGCTCCTTCGAAGGTACAAACACATTTGACTTGTTTACTAATCAATCGGAAAACAATTTACCGCGACCTCCTCTTAAGGACTGCAATTTTTTACGATTCAGAGTCGATGAAGTAGGTAAAAACTAGCAGAGGCCGAGTTATACCCATTAAATTAACTCTGATTTGCAGTTTATAAACTTACTCCAAGGTGTAGTTATCAATCGCTCAATTAATTATATTGATAACGATTGAATATAATCTAATTCATCAGCAAATCGCTTTTTAGACATATGAATAAAAATAATCGGGGAGGGGCTTAGATCACTCACAAATCTCAGAAGAGAATTGGAGTTAAGCTGTTAGCTAAGAAATCCCGCAGCTCGGTAAAGACTCTAAAAAAAGCTCTATATAAACTTACCATTCAGGGCAGCCTTGTTAGAGGAAATCTATACCGCATGTATCTTTGTGAGAAGAAAAACAAAACAAAGACTTATGCTGCTAAAAAAGAACGAGCATGCTGCATGCATGAATTTTTTCCTCATCTCGGACCCTAATATTTAGCGTCTTCTCGTGGTCGATTTTCGACGATCCGTCGGGGAAAATATAAATAAGAAAGTTGCTCTAGGGGTAAAGTTTCATCCTTTTTCAAAGCCTTCTTGGCTACTGGCCAGTGTCAGCTTATCGTAAAGGGCACGAGATCCGGCACCTTTAAGTATCATAACTACCAATAAAGATCGATCTTTTTCGTGTAAAATATTTACGGTCGGACAGGGTTGTCAGATGGTGCTCGCTCATCTACGGAGAGCAGCAGCGCTTTTCTGTCTTTTTGATGATTTGGTAACACGGGATCACAAATATTTAACGAGTGGAACCCTCGATGGGAGAGGGAATGGAGGGCGTGAAAATGCTGAGCCTACAATTATTTTACTCCGTTAGCCGTATATTATCAGCCTTCACTAGGGGAGGAGTTAAAAAATATAAATTTAAACTTATATTAACATTTTGGTATTTTAATGTCGCTGACATGATTATAACCCGAACAGAAACAATCAGGCAGAGTGAACCCCCCTCCCCCCTCCCCCAAAATAAAATTGAGTTCTGTACATTCTTATTGGTTTTTCTGGAAGCACAGTTTTCCCGCCAAAAATGACGAAAAGTTTGTTTCATGCGAAGAGCTCTTAGGGAGAATGAAACTACCTCCAGCATATTTTTCGTCTCCTATGTTTCAATATTCAAAGTCCATGACATTTTTATCCTTCCATTGAATGATTCCTATTCAGTGAATGTGCTCTTATACTGCGAGGTCAGTTATAAAAAAGGAAAAAAAGAATTTAGAAAAAAAAGAAAAAAAACTTCCAAATTATACTTTTAAAGTACGTGAATATTTTTCGTTGTGTGCTTGAGTCGAGATCTTACCAAGCGATGATCGAGAATAATTTCTGAAATTCCAATTTTTCCAGAGAGCTCTCTTGCTTTAGTGGACCGTAATGCTGAGTTGAAACTAAAAGGAAGTTTACCACATAACTTAAATTGGAATGGTGCCAATCGCGATTTTCTATTCGATGATTTTCAAAATAATACTTTTCACTTTTTACACAAGGTCATCCCCATCCTAGACAAAACATTTACTGTAAGCTGGCTCAACTTCAATCCAAATTTAACAGTAATTCAACGCACACAATGGCTAAGAATTGACGGGCTAAATTATATTGCAGACATTTGGCTGTACAAAAATCTGGTAACGATGCATTTGAGACTGGTACTGATCAAATTTCTTAAATTCTCGTAGAAAAACTTGTGTCAAATAATTAAAATAACAGTGTTTAGTGTGGCAAAACGTCCCCGGAGAGGCGCAGAGCAGGTATCGGTGTGAATTCTCGCGCCCACTTCGGTCAAACTTTGACACAAATGCTTCAAAGAAGTCCCTCCAAGCTGTTTACTTTGGCCACTGCAAGTGGACTTCCAGTTCTGTGTGTCAGTTAGGGCACAAAAGTGCGAAATGGTAGAGCTCGCTGGATGATAAAACAATAGACTCTCTCCTTCAATGTGGCAACGACTGTGAAGTCCTTCCCACTTTTTCCGCAGAGTATTTTCAGTGGTTGCTTTATACCTTATCTACAGAGAGACAGTTAAGCATTGTGTTCCTATCTAAAAAGAAATTCCTTGAATTTAGACTCCGGAATTCTTTTGATATATAGCATTTTGCAAAAGTAAGGCACAAAATAAAAATACTAGCACGCGTGAAGAAAATAATTGAATAACAAAGGTAAAATCCATAAAAATCTTCAAAAATCCAAATTCCAATCTTACAAAAGAGGGGCTTGGAGGACAAGGCACATACGTATAGTTCTTGATAAAACTGAGTTTTTAACGATTTCAAGTAAAACTAGTCTTATTACATATTTTGTGAAAAAATTCGCACCAAAGTTCACATTTTAAGGATCAAAAGTCAGTTTGAACTCCCTTTCCGCCATAAGGATCCATGTAATTTCGAATCTACAAACACGCATGTCTCGAAATAGCAAAAACTGCACCTATATCCTCCAATAAGTCCCTTAAATATCCTTCATCAAAAATTTTCCGGAAAACACCGTTTGTACAACGAAAATAATTGAAAGGAACTCCTGACCAAGATATCAGCGTTTTTCAATGCATAAATTTTATTAAAACTCTCTGCTCATAGAAAAAGAATAATCTTCTTGATTTAAATCACACACAAAATGTCACTGTGACACTCATATAAAATATGACAGTTTGAATACCGGCGCCACGGCTCACCTATTGCACGTTGTTTACCCTCTGAAATGAAACTCAGTGCCTCCTCATAAGATAAATTCAGTACTTTTTCAGTACCTCCAATTGACGAAACTCGAAAATTTGAATCTCTCGCTCGAATTGCGACAAAAATGACAAAAATTCCGGACCTTTTCGCAAAATTTCGCACTTTTTCAGTACTTCCGGACCGCCCTTAAAAAATCAGTACTATATCCGGACTCTCCGGACTTCCCGGACTTGTAGACACCCTGATTGAGAGCTCAGGAAATTGAAAATGAAACATTCCCCCGCCTCCTCTATACTGCCGTGCTAAGGAAGAACGCCGTATGAACATTCGAGAGTTGCAAAATTTCCTTCGATAAAATATTCATTTTTGAGGAAAGTTATGAATATTTTTCCTTAAAATTTTCAGGAACTTTAGGTGAAATTGCGAACAAAATAATCTGAAAAATTAGAAGAAAAGTATCCATAAGTTTTCCAGGAAATTCGTGTTTTGTCGAAGGAAATTTGGCAACGCCTGAAGGTTCATACGGCGTTTTTCCTTAGCATGGCAGTATAATATTTGGCTAAAATAAGACGTCTCTTGCATGACCAGAATCCAAGCTCGCAGCTCACGGGTCAGGGGTGAGCGGCGCTAGCCGCAAGACCGCAGCGGCCGACCATCGGGAAATCCGAAACCGATACTAACACTGTGCGAGGCCCTCGAGTGCT